CAGTCTGGGCGACAGAGTGAGACTCCAACTCAAAAAAAAAAAAAAAAAAAAAAATTTAATAATTAGGCCTTTGGTTGCAAAATTAAGGGAAATTTGACATTGCTGGGTCAAGGCTACAGTGAGCCAGGATCATGCCGCTGCACTTAAGCTTGGGTGACAGTGAGACCCTGACTTAAAACTTTAACCCGCACACAGTGGCTCATGCCTGTAATCCAGCAATTTAGAAGGTGGGGGCGAGAGGATTCCCTTAGCCCAGGGGTCCAAGACCAGCCTTGGCAACTTTGTGAGACCTTGTATCACAATAAATAAAAAATTAGCCGGACATGGTAGCACCCACCTTTTTTCCGGCTACTTGGAAGGCTGAGGCAGAAGGATTGCTGGAACCTAGCAAGTGGACGCTGAGGTGGTTATGAGTGTACCACTGCATTCCAGTCTGGGCGACAGAGTGAGATTCCAACTCAGAAAAAAAAAAAAAAAAAAGAAATTGGAGGGATTGGATGGCTCACAAATGTAATCCCAGCACTTTGGGAGGTAGAGGTGGGAGGATTGCTTGAGCCTAAAAAAATCGTGACCAGACTACGGCAACATAGTGAGACCTTGTCTATACCACACACACACGCAGAGAGAAATTGAGATGGAAACCTAGCTTAAGACTTTTCGGTCATAGAATCGGCAAAAATACGACTAGAAGGAGGGAAAGGGAAATTAATGATGAGTTCACCCGCCAGTCTCTCCCTTTTTCCCATCCCTTCCCTTAGGAATCTTGCTTTCTCTGCGGTCTTCCAAAAGGAGACGGATGCTACTTCCAATATGACTTTTTTTTTTTTTTTTGAGTTGTCACCCAGACTGGAGTGCAGTGGCCGCTCCCGGCCACCACAGCCTCGACCTGCTGGGCTCTGGCGATGCTTTTGCCTCCGCCTTCCAAGTAGCCGGAACTACAGGCATGTGCTACCACGCCTGGCTCATTTTTTGATTTATTGTAGCCATGAGGTCTTGCCACGTTGCCCAGGCGGGTCTCGATCCCGCGGGCTAAGGCAATCCATTCACTTCAGTCTCCCAAAGGCATGGGATTACAGGCTGAGCCGCCGAGCCTGGCCAATATGACATTTTAGTTACTTTATTATATCTTAGTTGTTAAGCTTCGCCTTCTTGATTTTCAGCTTGCAGTTCTAATTCAGTCTATCCCTGACAGCATGAGACAGGCTGAACTGAACTTGCCTGGATCTTCTAAATTTCAGGGTACAGATTAAAAGTTCAGGAGTGGGAGGAACACAGGCCTCACTTACTGAATTTCTTGTGATAAAGGACAAGGTTAACTAGTTCTGCTGTAAATAATCCTCCTATTCAGAAAACCTGGTGTCTGCAGGAAAAAAAAACAGGCTGTGACTACAAACCCTAAGGTAAAGGCAGACAACTGCCAGACAGAAGCAGGAAAACGGGGAGGGTCTTTGGTAAATATTGCATGCCTCCTGGGGCCCTTTGGGCTTTGACTCAAGCGGAAGATAAAGGGAATTTGTTAAAGAAAGAAGTCAATTGGGGCAGACAAAAGCTTCTGGCACAGGAAGTTAGTTCCACTAAGGATACTGAAATGTAGGAATTTGAATAGGTTCCTTGGTGTGAGGCCGAAGTGAAACCTGATTGAAAAGCAGCTGCTGATGGTGAGTCTGCTTAAGCCATTCCCGGCTTCTGGGCGGTTGGGGTGTAAACTTTGTGGTCCTGGAAGAGAGTGTCCTTGAGAATTTTACAAGGTCAAGCACCTGGGAGATTCCTTCAGTGCAATGAATGGTAGCAGTACCTCAAATGATACTACCAAGCAAGCTATTAAACAAAATCTCAGATCAAATTAAGATGTTAGAGTCAGCCGGGCTCGGTGGCTCAGCCTGTCATCCCGTGCCTTTGGGAGGCTGAGGTGAGTGGATTGCCTGAGCCTGCAGGTTCGAGACCTCATCTCTACAATAAATCAAAAATCACCCGGGCGTGGTAGCGCGCGCCTGTAATTCGGCTACACGGAAGGCTGAGGCGGAAGGATCGCCGGAGCCCAGCAGGTCGAGGCTGCGGTGGCCTGAAGTGGCCACTGCACTCCAGTCTGGGCGACAGTGAGATTCCAACTCAAAAAAAAAAAAAAAAAAAGATAAAATTAAGATGGTAGTCATTAAATCAGTTAAACACACAAAGCAACAGGGAACAAAGTGGGACACATTGATAACATTTAGTGCACGCAGGGTGTTTATATGACCCGTTTCTGATAGTACCGGCCAATCTCCGTGGAATACGTCACAGAAACAAAGGACAAGGACCAAGGATGAGAACCTGAGAAAGGGCTGTACCTGGACACATTCTGTGTGAACATGCTTGCCAGAAACACAAAGGGGCAAGTGCCCCTGGCCCCAAAAGCAGCTCTCCTCAGCTCTGTGCAGCAAATTAATGGAATTTAATTTTAAGCTGGAGTCTCATTCTGAAGCCCAGGCTGGACTGCAGTGGCACACTCACCGCCACCCCAGTGTCGACCTGCCGGACTCCAGCAATCCTGTCTTAGCTTTCCAAGTGTCCGGAACTACAGGCGGGTGCCACCCCATCCGGCTAATTTTTGATTTGTTGTAGAGACGAGGGCTCACCAAGTTCCCCGGGCTGGTCTCGAACCCGCGGGCTCCCAAAGTGCTGGGATTTCAGACCAAGCAAACGAGCCAGGTCAAATGGAATTCATTTACATTACTTGGACAGCATACCTGTGAGGCCTGAGTGGACGTCATCCATGGGCAGACAATTGATGTTGTGTGCCCTCTGTTATATAGGATATTTACTGTTAGGTTAAGTAAGAGAATAAGGGAGCCGGGCTCGGTGGCTCAGCCTGTTATCCCGCGCCTTTGGGAGGCTGAGGTGAGTGGATTGCCTGAGCCCGTGGGTTCGAGACCCACCTGGGCAGCGAGACCTCATCTCTACGATAAATCAAAAAATCAGCCGGGCGTGGTAGCGTGCACCTGTAATTCCGGCTACTCGGAAGGCTGAGGCGGAAGGGTCTCCGGAGCCCAGCAGGTCGAGGCCGGGAGTGGCCACTGCACTCCAGTCTGGGCGACAGAGTGAGACTCCAACTCAAAAAAAAAAAAAAAGGGGACTCACCCAGGCTGGAGCACAGTGGTGTGATCCTAACTCACTGCGGTCTTCAGCTCTTGGTCTCAAGAGATTCTTTACCTCGGCCTGACTAGCTGGGACTACAGGCAGGAGCAACCACGACCAGCTTGTTTTTAAAATTTTGTTTTAGCCCGATACAGTAGCTCACACCTGTAATCCCAGCACTGGGAGGTGGAGGCGGGAGGATGACCTGAATCCCGGGGTTTGAGAACAGCCTGGGCAACTTGGCAAGACCTCGTCTCTACAATATATCAAGTATTAGCTGGACGTGGTGGCACACACCTGTAGTGCTAGCTACTTGGAAGTCTGAGGTGGAAGGATCGCCTGACCAGCAGGTCGGGGCTGCGGTGGCCGTGAGCATATCATTGCCTTCCAGCCTGGGTGACAATGAGACTTGACTCAAAAGAATAAAATAAAATTTTATTTTAGAGATAAGTCTTGCTGTGTTGGCCAAGCTGTTCTCAAACGTCCTAATTTTTATCAATTGATCCTCCTACCTTGGCCTCCCAAAGTGCTAAGATTACAGGTGTAAACAACCATGCCTAGACATAATTGACTTTCTATTTTTTTTTGAGTTGGAGTCTCACTGTTGCCCAGATGGAGTGCAGTGGGCGCTCCTGGCCACTGCAGCCTGGACCTGCTGGGCTCCGGCGATCCTTCCGCCTCAGCCTTCCGAGTAGCCGCGATTACAGATGCGCGCTACCACACCCGGCTAATTTTTTGATTTATTGTAGAGATGAGGTCTCGCCAAGTTGCTCAGACGGGTCTCAAACCCATGAGCTCAGGCAATCCACTCACTTCGGGCTCCCAAAGCGCGGGATTACAGGCTGAGCCACTGAGTCCGGTTAATTGACTTTCTGAACTTTTTTATTTATTTATTTATTTTTTTTTAATTTTTGAGTTGGAGTCTCACTCTGTCACCCAGAGTGGAGCGCAGTGGCTGCTCCCAGCCACCGCAGCCTCTACCTGCTGGGCCCCCTGCGATCCTTCCGCCTCAGCCTTCTGAGTAGCCGGAATTTCAGGCGGGTGCTACCACGCCCGGCTGATTTTTTGATTTATTATAGAGGTGAGGTCTCGCCAAGTTGCCCAGGCGGATCTCGAATCCGCAGGCTCAGGCAATCCACTCACCTCAGCCTCCCAAAGCGTGGGATTACAGGCTGAGCCACCGAGCCCAGTTTATTTTGTTTTTATTTGTTGGGTTTTTTTTTTTCTTGAATCGGAGTCTCATTCTGTCACCCAGACTGGAGTGCAGTGGCAGTCACACCCTCAACCTGTTGGGCGCAGGACATCCTTCTACCTAGGCCTTCCAAGTAGCTGCAACTACAGGCGCACGCCACCATGCCCGGCTAATTTTTTGATTTGTTGTAGAGACAAGGTCTCACCATGTTGCCCAGGCTGGTCTTGAACCCCTGGGCTCAGGTAAAAGTTAGGCGGGTGTGGTGACACATACCTACAGTTCTAGCGACTTGGGAGGTGAGAAGGAAGGATTGCTTGAGCTCAAGAAGCTGAGACTGCAATGCGCTGTGATCTTGTAACTGTAGTCCTCCAGTCTGGGCACAGAATGAGGCCTCCACTCAAAAAGAAAAGGGCCGGCACAGCGACTCAAGCCTGTAATCCCAGCACTTTGGGAGGCTGAGGTGAGAGGATTGCCTGAGTCCAGGGGTTCGAGAACAGCCTGTGCAACTTGTTAAGAGCTCCTCTCTACAATAAATCAAAAAATTAGCTGGGTGTGGTGGTGTGCACCTGTACTTCCAGTTACTTGGAAGGCTGAGGGAGAAGGATTATCTGAATCTAGCAGGTCAAGGATGCTGTGGCTGTGAACATGCCACTGCATTCCAGCCTGGGCAACAGAGTGAGCCCACTCACACACAAAAAAACAGGCCTTCCTGGGTTTCCCCACTCAGTCTATTAGCATCAGATCATATACTGTTTGCCCAGCCACTGCACTCCAGTCTGGGTGGCAGAGTGAGACTCCAACTCAAAAAAAGAAAGAATGACTTCGGAGGTTGGGTGTGGTGACTCTCGCCTATAATCCCAGCACTTTGGGAGGCCCAGGTTAGAGGATTGCCTGAGCCCACAAGTTTGAGACCATCCTGGGCAACTTAGTGAGACCTCATCTCTATAATAAATCAAGAAAAATTAGCCGGGTGTGGTGGTGCACGCCTGTAGCTTCAGTTACTTGAAGTCTGAGGTGGATGGATTGCCCGAGCCCAGCAGTCGAGGCTGTGTTGGCCGTGAGCGTGCCACTGCACTCCAGCCTGGGTGACAGAGTGAGACTCTGACTCAAAAAAAAAAAAAAAAAAAAAAGCCGGGTATCGTGGCACACACCTGTAGTCCCAACTACTCAGATTGCTCTAGCCCAGGAAGTTAAAGCAGTGAGACCTAGACTCAAATAAAAGGGGACAGTTTTCCCTATATCATTGGATCTTCATTCTGAAGGCTCCTGTGTTATGGAAAACTATTATCACATACATTTTTATATCCTTTCTCTTATAATTTGTTGTTTGTCAGTTAATTTTCGGGGAACCCTTAAGAGGCCAATGGGGGTGTTTGCTCTTCGCCCATATATAACCAATGCAGAGATTTTTTTGCAATTATGGCACTCCAAACTCATAAGCAAATTGTGATGCTAAAATAAAAATGCATTCATAATATGAATGTTTTAAAATTAATCCTAAAGATACTACAGGCATGTAATGAACTGCTTGTATAATCATGCATGTCTGATACAAGCCAGGAAGACAGATATTCTATTTATATTTTATTTCTTTGAGTTGGGATCTCACTCTCACCCAGGCTGGAGAGCAGTAGCACGCTCCTCCTGGCCACCACAGCCTTGACCTGCTGGGCTCAGGTGATCCTTCTGCCTCAGTCTTCCAAGCAGCTGGAACTACAGGTATGAGTCACCATGCCTGGCTAATTTTTTAATTTGTTGTAGAAATGAGGTCTTGTCAAGTGGCCCAGGCTGGTCTTGACCCTGCAGGCTCAAGCAGTCCTCTCACCTCGGTCTCCCAAAGTGCTGGGGTTAGAGGCATGAGCTGCCATGCCCCGCCACATACTCTTTATTACAAGACTGGAAAGTTTAGGACTGACGAAGCTGTAGATAAGAGGTCTGGAGGGACAGTAAACTGGCGTGTCCTTCTGAATGGCAATCAGATAAGAGGGTCAGAGCCAGGTTCTCTAGGGTTGGAAAACAACCAAATTAAAATCCCAGCTACACCCTTTATGACTGGGCAAGTTATTTCTCAACCTTTGAGGTCTTCTCATAAGTAAATGGGATAATATTGAAATGAATTCAAAAGGTTTCTGTCAACTAATATGTATTTCATCAACCTCATAGGATTTGTGCAATGAATGTCAGTTATATGCATGGAAATATAAAATATTAATAACCTTTGATCCGCCCCTAGGAATGTAATAGCATTAATCGGATAAGTACATAATGATACCCATTGCAACACTGCTGTTAACAACTAAAGAAAAATTGCAATAGGGCGTGGTGGCTCACACCTGTAATCCCGGCATTTAGGGAGGCTGACGTTGGGAGGATTGCTTGGGCCTGGGAGCTCAAGACCAGCCTAGGCATCAAATTGAGACATTGTCTCTACAAAAAAATTTTAAAAATTAGCCGATGCAGTGCTGCAAACCGGTATTCCCAGTTACTTGGGAAATTGAGGTGGAAGGATTGCCTAAGTCCAGGGGTTCGAGACCAGCTGGGCAATTTGGTGAGACCTTGTCTCTCCAATAAATCAAAAAAATCAGCTGGGTGTGTTGGCACACACCTGTGGTTCCAGCTACTTGGAAGGCTGAGGTGGAAGATTCGTCTGAGCCCAGCAGGTCGAGGCTGTGATGACTGAGCATGCCACTGTACTCCAGCCTGGGTGACAAGAGTGAGGCTGCGACTCACAAAATATAATAGTAGTGGATACTGCTATTTGGGACGAATAAGAATAGCTTCCATGTAAACCAGTAATGCTAGTAGTATTTCCATGAACATTTCTAAAACATGAAAATAGTTCAAGTACTCGTACTGGTATCTTTGGTGAAGGCTAGCATCTTGGAACTCGGGTATTCAAACACTGACTGGACTCAATCCCTGTTGGGCAAAACCACAAACGCCAACTCACGTAGAGGGTCACACCTCCCCCTGGTGGTACGCCGCTGCACTGGGCTCACC